CTATGGAAAAGGTACCTGGAAAAGACCTGTGTAATGGAGGAGTTGCAGCACCCCCAACTATAGCTGTGACTACAGTGATAACATTTCTCTTCCTTGGGCAGAATAACTTCTATGAAAGCAAATTGACTAACACAACCTGAATGGCGTGGTTTGGGTTTCTTAAAAATGGATAAATAACCATTCCCAGACAGCCTTTTTGCCTAAGACCTTTCATCACGGTCAATTTTAGCTTTCAATAACACTAATTATTCACTTTTTCATTATATCTGACTGATCTGTAGTACTCTGCATCTATCCTGGATGCAGACTCAGCCTGAAGGTGAGGCTGGAGCCCAGGTGAAGACCCAGTCTGGAAGTAAGGCAGGAACCTGGGTCTAGACCCAGCCTAGGGGTGAGGCTGGAATCTGGATCCAGACCCGTCCTGGGGTCTCATGAAGCTGCAGCTGGGTCCAGACCTCTCCTGGAGTCTGGTGAGCTTGGAGCCCAACTGCAGATCCAACCTGCAGGTGAGGCTGGAGCCTGGGTTCAGATTCACCCTGGGGATGAGTTTGGAGCCTGAGTCCAGACCCAGCTGGGAGGTGAGGCTGAAGAAAACACAGCTAGGGGAGCGAGCAAGTGGTGTCTTTACCTGGTAGACCTCCCTGTATAGATGAGCCTTCAGGTCTGTTATCTCAACACTTGTACAAATCTCCCTACAGGCTGTAGTGCCTAACAAGGTCTGTTTTACCAAACCCATGTAAACTTGGGCTCAAATAAATCTAATATGTCCTAAAGACAGATTAAAATGAAATCTTGGTGGATATAAAAATAACATTTCAAAGTCAAAGCTCAAGAATATCTCCCTAACATCTCATAAATCACCATAGCATTTCATTTTAACACATTTTCCTCAGTTTATGAGGCAAAAGAATACCCTAATCATGTGGCAGCCTTTGTGCATACCATTACCTGTAATTTTAGATGCCTACTTGATTTCTTTCACTCTGGAAATATTCCAGTCATTTTTCACAGTCTCATGCCTAAAAAGTAAAATGCATTGAACCCTTTTCCTTCATAATGTCCAGCCTTTTCCCTCTTTAATCTTCTTACAGCTTCCTAAAACATGATGATTTATCTGTGCTGTTTGTGGGACCCAGGTGTGTTGCACATTATAAACAACTCAGCAAATAATCCACACAGAGACTAGCTGGGGAAGTGAATTTTAAAAGATAATTAAAACCACTTAACAGTAAGATCTTACCAGTTCTCCCCTTCCTAAGGATTTGCAAAATTTTGTTTGAGCAGCGCTGTTTTATGCAGTCAAAAAGAAGTATGAATGGCATGGTAAGGGGTGAGTTTTTATGCAGTATCTAGGCAAAACAGTGTCTGATCATTGTCAGGAGTGTAGGATGGATAGCTTATTGCAGGCAACACAGTTTTCCTGGAGCTGAATTCAACAAGTAGTTGATAAATGGAAATGTGACTGATGCACTGAGGAGTACGCTGTCCTGCTAAATTGAAGTCAAGCTGTTTTCTCTCAGGACTTTTAAAAGCCGGGGTTAATTCCCAATCGTGTCCTGCTGGGACATGGATATTGCTGCTGCTACTGCCACAGAAAAGTAGCCTTGAGTAGACACAAGGGTGAGGTGCTTAGATGTGAGCAAGCACCTCGGTGCTTCATGCATGGTAGATAAGTGATCTAGCTTGGGTTCATTTATGTCATTAAATGTTATGCTGGGCTTGTTTGTACGTGATCCTTAGTGACATTAGGGACTGTGTTGCAGTGTAAGTATCAGAAATGCTTTTTTTTTTTTTTCAGTTCTGCCTGGAAGAATACTAATCCTTACTGTCCCAGTTTGGGGTTATCCTAGGTAAATGGTGCCCAGCATGTGTTATCAGAAGTAAGACACTATGTTTTAAAATAATACCCTGACTTGGGTTGTCCAGTGCAGGCTGGCAGAAAAGTTGCTGTGTTAGAGGAAGTTTAATACTGTTTTATGACACTTAAAAAATGGAGATGAGTTCTCTGCTCTGTTACCAATGGATGAAGGTTTCAGGGATGTCCGGAGCTCTTGTAGGCCCTGGGATCATTTAGGACTATGCTGCCAGTGCTCTGCTTTGCACACCTGCAAGCAAAAGGTCATATATAACCTGCAGGTGTGGGACACTGACTGCTGCTTGGCCAGTAAAGTGGGCTTTCTTACGTTGAGTGCAATTGGAGAGTAGATTTTATTAGCCAGGCTTTGTTTTACCCTTGTTAATCCTAAAAGCAAATCTGTCTTTGGACCTTTTGGCTTGAATATTTGATCTAATATTTGCATTTGAAAAGAAGAAATCTTTGATATAGTCTTGACCTTAAAGATTTTGGTGCACGGAATCTGCATACTAATGCAATGACTGATCTCCGCTGCCGAAATGAGAGCTGCAGACTGTTGCAGTTAGGCAGTAACTCTTGCTCATGTTTTTCTCTTTTCAGAAACACTTTTTTTCTTTTTTTTTTCTTTTTAATAACATGTGTGGGATTATATTGCATATCATCTGGAATAGTTTTGCATTCCATGTAAGTTTTGCATTCCTTGCTTTCTCGAGCCCTGAAACAATTAGCAAGCTGCGTCCATGACCAAAGCAGAAGTTTAATACAGAACTGCAATCCCCTAAGAATACTCTGCGCGTGGCTCTTTGTGGTGATGTCTGAAGTTTTGCCAAATAACACAGGTGATCTCGAGCTGCGGTGCCTAATATTGCTGCCCAGGGTGGTTGGGGAGGTCATATATATAGCTGTGTCCAAAGGGTGGACATAGTATGGAAGTAGCACTAGGGAGAAGACCCCAAAGCACAGGATGACTGTGGTTCAAGTATCAGCCATTTGATACTTGATGAAAGCGAGTGTCTTGCTGGGGCACCTAGTTGCATCAGCCGCGCACAAGGCTCTCAAAGTCCATTTTTTAATATTGACCAAACGTGTAATTGTTGTTCTGTTACCATGGATTGATTTTTTGCATGAAATTGGAGTCATTCCTCATGCTGGGAGAGAAGGGGGCACCCATGAGCTGAGATTAGAGTCTGAAAGTAGAAAGTGCTGTTCAATAGCCCTACGGATCTGGATGGTGAAGCTTACGCGCTTCTCCCACCCAAATCAGGATAGCATGTCCTATGTTACTGCTCTTGGCCCGCAGTCAGCCTTGTGGTATAGTATTTTAAAAAGTGCCCCCTGCTTCTAGCACTGTCTGTACACAGATGTGTAACTGACTCATACACAGGAAGATTATAGTAATTCAGAATATGGTGGTTGCACATGTGGTGCAATTCTTGGCTTGCTTGACAGCCTGAAAGCTTATCACAGCTGGAATTTCATACAATGGGATCCAGGTTTTCTGGGGACATTGGTAAATTCCTGCCATTCCCATTTATACTAAAAAAATCCTTCAAGGCACATTTTGATTAGACTTGAAATCTGATGAAATTCTAATTTATTTTAGCTCTGATTCAGCTTGGTAGGGTAACCCTTTGCAACTCGTAGCACAGCGTGGCGTGCTAGTATGAAAAGGCAGCACAGTGGCCCAGCCAATAACAGTGAGCAGCATTTTAAGTCCACTGGAGAGTGAAAAGAGTGCAGCACTGGCAAATTTCAGCAAGTTGTATGTCACTGAGATATTCTGCTTTCAAACTTGGATTTATAAACTTATTGTCGTGCAAAGAAAAGAGTAAGAAGCTGTGCAGGTAATTAAATATTTGCCTTGGGGGATTATTTGCAGTTAATTAAAGCCACACATTTTCAGTGCATACCTGTTCTACAGATTATTAAATTTGGATCAGATGTTAACAACACAGCTTTCTCACTTATCCATCAGAGATTATTCTTGGCAAGTTTGAGGAACAGAGTTCTACCAGGACATTTTATGATATATTGTAAGATTTGTTCTGCCGTGTTACAGAAAGGGACTTTCTGGATGTAGAGTCTTAATAACACTGCCATAAGGTAATTTATTATCATGTATGATAAATCTCTTGTGTTAGCTGAGTTTTTCTGCTGGCAGCATGTTAGAAAGTGTTCTGCTCTGACTTATAAATAATGATCATCTATTGCCGTTAGTTCACTTATCCCTTATGTTTGCAAAAATGTCCAGTTAATTAGATCAGTGGCCTTTTTTAACAAGGATCAAATAGAGCTCTGTATCCTGTAAAAACTGTATATGATGTCAATGAGCAGAATTTAAAAGAAAAAAGATAAAAAAGGAAAAAAAAGGGAAGCTCTTTTGCTGTTACTTCCTGACTATAGTGGACTAACACATTTCTGATCACCAAAGACTAAGGAGTAGCGTGTGTTAGAAACCACTGTTTGACATAGCAAACTAATGACCAGTGAAGCTAGGGAAGACCACAGATAGTGCAGAGACAGGATTTAAACCAGTCTAAACCGCACTGTGCCCCTGGTTGAAGTTTTGGCTTTGGGCAGCTCATTTTGCTAGTCTCCCCCAAAGCAAAATAAGTCTTTGCCACAGTCTTTGCCACTTGGGCAGTTCTGTCATTGAGTGAAATGAGGTGATGGTTTGTGCTGAGTTTTATAGGACTTAATATTTGCCAAGCAGGTTGGAAATCCAGCTAGACAAAGTACTAGCACTGTTCTAAAAAATGTCTTAGTATGTCAAATGGATCATTCATGTTGTTTGACATAGCTTTGTGCTACTCCAGTCGTTAGAAATAAAATTCTTGGTCATACACTTGTTTTTCTTAGCTACTCTTTCTTGCCAATTGCTGACCAAAATCTGTTTCATCAGTGTGCAGATTCTGAAATCCAGTTGAATAACTTAAACCCATAAGTATATTTTAATAGTGTCTAATTCTAGGCTCAAACAGACAGATACATTGGGATGCCAAATATGAATCTAGCACGGCAGGGCTACCCTGAGCTGGTAGCTACATCTGAGGTAGCTACCAGCCTGCAATGAACATCATCCGTATTTTTCCATGTGCTTATTTGCTGTTTCCTCAGACTTGCTGAAAGACCCCAGAGGTGCCTCAGAGGACAACCTAATGCACCCTGTGGTGTGTGAACAAGATCAAGCCGAAGGTGAAGTTTTCTATTAAAATTTCTTAAGACACAAATCACGATCCAGTTGGGAACCTAAGTTCTTCCAGCTATGGCCTTCAGTGGTCTTTCCTCCGATCTCTGCTGCCTTAGAAATATGCCTGCAGCTGGTAGAGGCTGGGCACCAAACACCCTTGGTGCAGTAGTCTCCAAATATGCGGGTTTAACCATATTGATCCTGAGTCAGTGCATAGCATGATTATCCCTATTTTTTATTTGTTTATTTTGTTCTGTTTTTTGGGGTTTTTTTTCTTTTTTTTTTCTCTCCTAAAAGCCTGGGATAAAGTAGGGTAGTTCTGTTCTTCTGATAAGCTGTCAAGTGCAGGCAGTTTGCAGTATCACCTGTGAGAAACAATGTGTCAAGGCTGAGTTGCAATAAAAAGCGATTCAGGGTCAGTTTAGACCACTCATTCAACATGCTTACTGTTTAGAGCTTATTAAGTGGTGTGGTCGTGTATAAAATGATTTAATATTGTTCAGTTAATAGGAAAGAAAAAGCAGTATTGGGCTGAAAAGTATTATGATATATGTTGGGTTTGTGTCCTGTTTTGATAAACTTGCATTTGCACATGTGCACAACCATCATACTGATATCATTTCCAATCTGTCATGTTAACAGGACAAGAGGATGCTTCTGCACAGGAGGGGATGAAAACTGGGACAGATCCCCAAAGCATGGAAGTAGAAGGTACTGATTATGCCATGAAACCAATGAGCAAGATTACCAGAGGGAAAAATACCTGTTACTGCTCAGCCAGCAGTAGTGTTTAAGTTTCCTTTGTTTCTTCATATATAGTAAGCCAAATCTGTAGAGCTTGCTCATCTTATGGTAGCTTTGAATTTGAGTCTGAGCAGGGGAGTAGCCTTGGATTCTCAGCTCAGCTCATTTAATTTAATGCCTAATTAAGAAAAAAAGAAAGAGAGAAAGAAGCAAAGAAAGAAAGGAAGGAATATTTTTAGTCATTTGGCCTGTTAAAAATAAAAGTGGACACTATCTTTTATTCCTGAGGATAAACACTCGAGTCTTGAACATGAGGTGCACTGAATGCTCTATCTGAATGCAAAGGCAAACACTTTGGTAAATGTATCTTTGGGCTTGTCTTAGGGAAGTCCCCAGCTTAGAGCTTGACACGTATTTTTTTGTGCTAAGGCTAGAAAGCTCAACTTCTCAAAGGATCAAGGCCTTGCACTCAACTATAGCCCTTTGGATTTCCCAGAGTTTTGGCATTGGTACTTCTGAGGATAGGTCCTTTTCCTCTGCCAGTGTTTTTATTGGTAATCTCTGTAGGATATATTAATCATTCTATACCATGTCAGTTCTGAAGAACCTAACCATTTAGCTTCTGCTTTCATTAAATCTATTCAGAGACGTTCTTGAACCAAAAAGACTCAACAGAAGCTGAGAAATCTTTGATTCCCAGTGCAACTGAAGATGAAGAAAAAGGAGGAGGAGGAGATGGTAAGAAAGAGAATTCTGCTGGATTTGTACATTCTCTTATTAATTATAGACACTTTGTCCATTGCAAGGAAACATGGAACTAACACGTGAAGATGTTTTTTTTTAATCATTATTTATTTAAGTATCCTTTCCTCCCTATCATTAAGGGCTGTTCTGATGTTTTGGCCTTGGATTTATATAGGAAAATAAGTGCAAGAAAGTGCATAGTCAGGTTCTAAACTGACTTTAAAATAAACACACTTCTCATTGTTGATTTTCTATATTACGTTGTTGATTTTCTATTTTAATGTGCATAAGGCTGATTAAGCAAGCAATTTATGTCTATTTAAGTACCCTGTTGATCATGTTCACTAAAACATCAAGGGTATTCACAATAAATGGATATGAAAATGATTTGTGAGGTCATTAGTAGGGATTTAACTACTAATTAACTAAAACTAGTAATGCTAATAAAGAAACCAATATTTGGAGCAGGAACACATAGAGTCTTGCTGAAGTAATATATTTTTCTGCATGTAAGGTATTTAAATCCTTAGTAATGCTTTGCAAAGAAACTCAGTATTTCAGTTTTTACTGTTAGGCACAATTCTGGGAGCCTTACCTCCAGCTGATCATTCATATGACTATATGATTGCATAAAAAGCAGTATATTATATAAAGAAATCTCTTAACTATAAAATACTTGCAAGTGAATAATTATATGGTCTTCTGTGGAGCACATAGAGATAAATTTTACAGATCCAAACTAAAACCTAGATGTGATCTATACTGAAAATCCAGGTCAATACTAACTGTGTTGTCTTAATTTTGAGCTCCTTTTCTCAGCTCCATTGACACCAACTTAATTGCAAACCTGCATTAGTAATATTGACACTTGCCTTCGTTGCAAGTCCAAGTTAATAGAACCTCTTTGATCATATACAGCTAAACAACATTTTCTCTGCTTTTTTTTTTCTCTATTGCCTGTTCAAGTTGAGACTAATCACATCCTCTTATTACCAGCCATATTTTTGGTATTGGTTTTGTGTTTTATTACTTACTTGCTGTAGTCCTTACTTCATTTCCAGGTAAATGGTATTTCTCCTTCAATTGCAAATCCAGGTTATATAATACAAACTCACGCTGATGGCAAATATCAAAGTTCTTATGTTAATTTCCTCCTAATAGAAATTATTTACATTTTATTTTATGCCTCATTCAAAGCAAGTTAGACAAAATGTACCTTCACTATTCGTACATTTCCTTCACTTTAGTACTTCAGTGTCCCCTGCAGCTAGTGTCTGTCATTTAGTTCTCAGTGGAGAGATTATATTTTGCCATCTGTTCTATCTAGCATTAAAATATGCAGCATTGAAGAAAAGAAGGTAATGTCAGAAAAGGAAAATATGGCTTTCCCTTGCTTTGCTTCCTTCTTATATATGTGACCCTCAGAACTCGTCTTGCTCAACACTTACAGCTTTGATGGATGCATATTCTACAATGATAACTGTGATAGCCACAATGCAAGATTGTTCTTTACTAAAAGAGTTTGAAAAATTAACCTAAGTTTGGACTGATAAAATAATACATATTCTGCAGAGAGAATTTCAGTTAGAAAGAGCCCACCTGGCATAAAACAGAGGTTTAATGTCTGTACTATTTCATGAAACATAAGTGCTACTGCATAAACTAATTCGGTTAAATTGTTTCCCAACAGCATCTACAGTATATTTGAAGTACAATAAAATGGCGTATTCTTTCCTAAGAACACTTGAAAGAAAGCTAACATGGCACTGTTATTCACATTAAATAGAAACCCAGTAACAATACTGGATGTTAAGTGTCACAGCAGTGCTCTTGACCTGCATTAAATCTACATGCATTAGCAGATGTAGCAACTGCTAGACTGCAGACAACCTGCACTGTCTTTTCTAGCTTTTGTCTTTTTGTGGTATCAAGTCCAGTCTGGAGCAAAGGGTAACAGGTAGCTGCCTCTTTCCTCCTGCTCTCACTGAGATCTATTAGATTAATGGGAGTCATCTGTTAGCTGAGCTGTCTCAATGGCTGGAGCTCCAGAAGGTGCCAAGTGACCAACAGAGATGAAAGTCCCTTTTCCAGCCTATGACTAGATGTCTGCTTGGTGGCAGATTGTAACTTTAAAGCAAGTCAGTAATTTTCCAGTGACCTCAGTTTCCCTGGGAAAAAAAATGACTGTTTCCCGATGTTTTCTAAGTGGGTCTCGGTCTCTGGGGGACGCTGCAGTGGTTTCTGATGTAACGCAGGTAAGTTGCTGATCAGATTTGTGCTGGTTTTGCTACCAGCTCTGTTCATGTGTGACTAGGGATTTTAAGGTTTGTAGAACCCTTTCTGTAAAGTCTGTTAGGTTTCATGGCTCCAGGTTCCCTGCATAGCACATGTTGTGATGGAATTGGGGATTCTCAGGCTTTCAAGATTGTGAGGCAATGGTGGTTTAGAGAACTGAAGAATCAAGGTTTTGGCAATTTCTCCACTGTTTCCCATTGCCGGGTGATATGAAACAAGCCAGATTACTTTGAAGAATTTAACAACATAAGGCGTGATATGTGTTTTCACAGAAATCTGGAGTTTGATTTTCAAAAATCAGTAAAAAAAATATAGTGTGCTATTTATTCCTTTGTTTTTCTCTGCTGTAACTTAAAGTTATATATTACTAGGAAGTGACTGAAGAAAAGGGACAAGCTAAGGTGCCTTTATTTTTTTTTCCAGGTAGTATAATGCAGTCATTCTAGCTCACAAAAGAATAATGAAAATATGTATTTCTTATAAGATTAGGGAATATTCTCAAATCCCTTTATTAAAAAGCAGAGGAAGTGGTGATCACTGACCTATTTGCTGATGAGAGAAGTGCACACGTTTTTAATGTTCATTTTGGCAGCCCTTTATATGTGCACTTAGAAATAGTTCTATCATGTTCTAATGACAGCGTTTTCAGCATTTAGTTGTGATTGGAATCGGCTCAGTTTTTCTACAAGACAACTTGCAGCAAATGGAAATGCAGCTCATGTTATTTATATGAACATGTAGCTATTCCTTCCACTGAGCCTGTTCTCCCCTGTAGATCTTGCTATTTCCCACCATATCATCTCTTGCTGCATAAAGACATGAGATACGATTATTTGCCTTGCCGATCATCTCTAGAAGTTGCGTAGCAATTTCTGCTAGAACGCTAGTGCCACAGAAGTGGCCATTATTTCTCTGTTTGCTTTTATTCTATATTCAGGCTCAAAGATATTGTCAAATTGTTATTACACTATTTATAACATTATTCAAGCATTTGCGATGCTTGAAATGCTCAACACTATATTTGTATTTTCATTCCAGTTAGATCAGAAACTCTTTTCTCTCAGAGCAAGGCTCTTACTCGACCTTCCCCTCTGTAATTTTTTCAAACTTTCCATCAATTCGAATTAAATCCTTTCAGTGGGATTTTAACTTGGGATGTTTCTCCCCAGAGGAAGTACACATAAAATCCACTCGTTTTTTTTCTCAGTATGGTCCGAGCTCAAAACGCATCACTGAGTTTCAAGGACTACTCTTGTCTGTTTCATGCTGACAGCTGAAGCCATATGAGAGACCTGGGAGAAATGACAGTGGCAAGAGGAATGGGGTGAGGACGCTGCACCCACTACTGCCTCATGGTTATGGTGTTCTTTTGCACGCCCTAAAACTGTGGTCAGGGTGGCAGCCTCCCTGGGAAAAAAGCTCATTCGTTTGCTTGTAGGGAGCTCTCAAAACGCAACAGCAGGTTCTTGTTGAAGCATGATCACGAGGCAGAGCACTGTAATGGTTGCCTATAAAGGCGCTTTAATATAAGTGCCCAGCAATTTAGTTAGGAGCAAGATGCATCCCATGCAATTAGTATTTGTGTGTAGTGAAACCTTAACCTGTTTAGGGAACCATCTCCTAATTTTCTTTTAAACATCTATAAAATATTTTTTTCTTTTTGTTTGGGGAAAAAAAAAAGAATCCTAAAGTATTTTGGAGTGTGGCTTCAATTGCTGGAGGACAGAAGACTGAATATCCTGAGTCAGAAGTATTGCTAAGGTTGATAATAACCTCCATTAAATGCATTTGATGGAAGTGTTGGAAGCTCCGAAATGAGCAGTATTCAATCCAGCGAAGGAAATGTGGTCTGACCTGTATTGATTAACATTTTGATACAAACACGTATGCTTCTGTATACATTTTTAATTTCTCTTAATATAATATGACGTGCCTGTTATAATCTATTAATATAGTATTATACTATAAAAAGAATTAAGAAAAGAAATGGATGGCCCATGAGTTTAGAAAAAAAGTAACTCTTGTTAAAATGCACTTAAGCACAATTGAGATGCTTTTGGAGCTGTTGCAGAATAATATGGCCCTAAATTTGCACTATATCTGAAGAATCCACTTCAGACATTTATGGGTGTTTGTCAGAGAAACACTGGACATTTTGCAGAAATGCTGGAAGTGGATAAAATAGCAAATGGGTGTTCAGCCTCCCCACACCTAAAGCTAAGCTGCACAGAGCAGTGAGCAGCCCCGAAGCGCCTACCTCGGACTAGCTGGAAGCGAGCCCTAACAAGATTACTCCTGTAAAGCCGAAGTAGTGCCTTCCAACTTGGGATACTTTTGTGTCTTAAGAAGTCCCATGTTTCGTGTCTTTATATTATTGGCAACTTCACAGATCTCAAGTGAAGTTTGCAGTTGTGGTATTGACCAGATGGGGAGCTTCTACACCAGACATCTGCTTGCCTGCGCCCTGGCCTGGGGGCAGTTCGGGCTCTCTGTCACGGTGCAAAGCCCTTTGCTGTCTGCTGAAAGAGTTATAGCTGTGACGGAGAAATACATTCAATTTATTTCTGTGTTTGGGACCTTTTTAGCTTAGGAAGAGGTTTCCTCAGTGGGAGGGATGTTTTTTTCCAAGTCTGTAAGCACTAAGGTGATTTTCATGAAAGCATATAAATGTTCTCCAGATGTTT